CTTTTCCTCAGGTAATGGGAGGTTACATTTTACCTCTTGTTACACGTATTTACTCTGTGTCATTACCTTAGACGATGTTTCTGAACACACTACGGCTGTCTTTTGTTAGTCATGGTCATCTTTTCAGACCAAGATGACATTAACAGTCGCGTTAGAGGCGTCATTGCTAGCAGGCAATTTTAAAGTGCTGCATTTGTATACTTTTTTCAGAACTTTGAAATTTCCAGCACCCATCAGAAAGTGAGTTATAGGCGGGAAATATATTATAAAACACAATTCCCAAATCCGTTTTCGTGGAGGAATTCTAGGCGCTTAAGAAGCTATCTAAAACACTGGCTCCATGTTAATTTAGTACGTACCATGCATCTCGCGGCACACCTGTTCTTCCGTGCAAGGCTTTCCTCGTCATTGTTGATGTTTTACAAGCCTGCACTTCTTAGACTCGATATTAACAAGATCAAAATCTGAGCTCATACGTGAGCAATATGTAAATTCACTTGGATCTACTTACATTACATAGGGTTATTGTAAGCCCTTGTTTTAATCAGTAAAATGCTGTGCGGTGCATTCATGCACTGACCTGATTATGTAGTCGTTGGCTATGAGTGAGCGGTGCCATAACTGCTTGTAAATCGGTTATATAACGTTGTGTATATTGTTTCTTTATCTTTGCAGTGACTGACGTACACGTAGCGCACAAGGGAAAATACCTAGAATCAGTGCTTGTAGCCATGAATTAATGTTTAGGAGGACCAGGAATCCTTGTTTCAGTGACATATACATCAAACGGCTTGAGTTTGCTTTTCAACAGCATTATAAGCTATGGCTTATTATAAACGGCATAATAAAAATACGAAAAACGTAAAGCAAGAGTAATGTCAGAGTTTATAAAGTTGAAACCGCTTATTTTTTCGTGGTGTAGAAGTTAACGTATCAAAGTAAGGGTTAATCAACATCTGTGCTATTCTACATGTTCTGGGTGAAGTAGAGATTTACCGACAAAATTAAAACTAAAGAGCCTTGTTACACCTCAAGGTGAAGATGACTTGCGGGATCGATCGAATTTCTCCGGAGTTAAATATCTAGGAAAACAGTTTTACAAACCTTTCCTTGCGGCATGGAGTTGTGGAATAATTGTTCCTATATTCTAACCTGGTATTCTAACAATCGTGATATCACGCTCTGTCAACTCTTGGGACACTTCTCAAGGGATGACTGAGGCAGGCAGCTGAGAGAAGGACTCCGCTAAAATGAAGCTGCCTTTCGGACTAGCATTCATGCCTTTACACAGTTTCCACTCTGCGTAGGATCATTGAACAATGCTGTCGAGTTTAGTTGCCTTGGTTTGCAACTTTCCTTAACTTTGAGGCTGCATTTGATTCAAGAAGTCGCCCGACGATGTTGGAAACCTTAAAATGTTATGGGATACCTGAGCACATCGTTTCCATTTGGGAAGAGATGCATGTAGGAACCATGCCTACTGTCAAAATCGAAGGAGATCAATCTGAATAATTGTCTTTCATCTGTAAAGTTCAGTAGGGAGATGTGCTCTTGCCTCTGCTGTTAGACATTGTTCTCGACTTTCTTCCCTCAAAGCACTTCTGATTTTGACATAGAGGATCTCGTTCTAGAGGGGAGGCGCAGTTTAAGATAGTCGGCTAGATACATTGCTGGCCTGTAATATGCAGACGATATTGTTCTGTTGAATAATACAGGATGCGGGTTCTGTCACGTGACGGATTTCATATGCAACACACCTGCAAAAGCCGACCTCTTCCTTAACGCCTGGAGGTCCAAATT